GGGCACAACGGTCAAACTGTCCATCTTAGAATGAAAATCCGTGATACTATGAAGCTCCATCCAGGCCAAGATCAGTTCCCAGGAACCACGTGGGTGGCTTACAACTGCCTATATTTCCAGATTTGGAGGTGTCAAAACCTCTTGCTTCCATCACATGCACATATCTTCCATATTTACAAGAAATTAACTTTTAAAAATGAAAGGTTAAAAGGTATTAGAGGTGTAGCTACTACGGACTGCACTTGCTTAGAGTGCATACAAAGACCAGTGTTTGGTACCTAGAGCACTGCCATAAACAATAACTGTGGACAGTTATTTAAATTTTAATCGGTAACCTGACTGTAAGGTACTCCATGCTCTTGTCACCTTTAAGTAGTAGTTGATTAAACACAAAAGTAACAGAATAGGTAGGTGTAAACTGTCCAAACTGAGAAAGTGTAGAAAGAAAAAATCCAAAGGACTTTATAGTATTAGCGATAAAAATGATGAAAATATTAAATACCGTGTCTCGTGTCTGCGAAAAATTGTTTTGAGTAACTTAGAACCATGTAATGATTGTTACTAGTACAATTCAATGCATGAGTAGCAAAAACTGAAACTAAACAATATTTATAAGTCAATATCCTAGGATTTGACTATGGAGGACAAATATAATGTACTACATTGAGAAATGTTGTTCTTTCTTACTTTGAAATATCAGTTAATTTATTCTTTATATGTATTTGAATACGTGTGTGTATGTACGTAACATGCATGCTTGTTGTTCAAAGAGGCCAAAGCACAGCATTGGTCACCTTAGAATGTACTTAAGGAACAGTTGTGAACCACCCTGAAGGTGCTGGGAAACTAACTTGGGTCCTCTGTAAGAACAGCCACTGCTCCTAACTGTTGAACCATCTCTCCAGCCCCGACCAAATCTTTTCCTTATTAAACAAGATATGACCTATGTCAGTGTCCAAAAAGTAGACGAAGCCACCATTTTACAGAATATATGATGTCAAACTTAAAAGTTGTGAGATATATTTCTGAAATAGTTCTGAATTCCTACTTTGGAAACCTTTGAAACTATAAAACTGCAACTTACCCTCGATTTCCATAACTTACTCTTTTGGGAATAAAATATTTTACTCCTTTGTTTCTAGGCAGAAGAGACCTTCTAGAGTATCTGACTTTTAACATTCTTACCCATACTGCTCTGGACAGAGTCTTCAGCTACAGAAGTTAACTCATTGGGGGGGTTTGAGTCACTGTGAAATAATTGAAAAAGAGTTCATTATTCTGATATTCAGATGAAGAAACAATTCTGAAATGCTCTGAATTCTTTGGTTTCTTGCGGGAATAATGCCCCTTTTATTAGAAACCTATAAACAACGTTTAATTTGTGGTTCAAGCTTTACTTATGGTTGGTGATTTCTTTCCTTACAACCTGTAAATTTTTCTCATGGAAAAGAATTGGATAGATTACCCCCTGATTGAAACCACACCTCCTTTCCAAACAACCCCACCCTCCATCTGCCATCTACCCTGACCACAGTTAGGAGCCCCACATTAGTAAAGTGCAACTAAAGTTTGATTCTTGTATTGATCAAGAAAATTGGGGACATGATTACCCTCCATAATTCAATTATTGCAGTGCTACTGTTCATGTCTGGCGTAACTAATGTTAGAGCTAGTAAATCATTGTAGGAATGATCCTTCATGTCTGTATTTATGTCCAATTAACAGGAAAGACAAAACCCAGCTTCATACACAGATAATAAGTAGTCAAGATGTTAGATGGGTTTCTTAAATTCATTAGTGTTACAAAAGGTCCTATGAGGAGAGAATTGAATTGGTGTGTTTATTGGTGAAGGGCAGGTATGAGATTCCCCACCATCTATGGAAAGGTACTGAATGCTCTTGCTCCAAGGTTATGTCATAACTTAGAGTTATGCCAATTCATGTGTGCTGTGAGAAAACACAAGAAAGGCCTCCTCAGTTATTCCTCTTGCAGTTCCAGGCTAATATGGGGACTCCAAAACAGGTTTGGAATAGGCAGGGAGAATAATTCTGCTGTGTTTGTTTGTGGAGGCTCTCCTCCCTAAGAAGACAGCTAGTTCTGGAAGTTGTGGGTGAGCATATACAAAATATGTATATGTAAATGGAACTAAAAAAGAGCATCTTCTCTGACCAAAATGGCATTGATTTAGAGTGTAGTGACTATGAGATACAGCAGGCATTAAGAAGATAATAAATGGTCTATTTCAGAGCACCCTCAACAAGTTTAGTTTCCTAGCTTTATAACGTTCAGCTGTATAATGTATTTAAAAGATCTATAAACTTTTACCTTGTTGAAGAACACCCAGTCATCCTGACATTCAGTTCTGAAAACAAAGGGAAAGTATTTTTTTAATACACAAAATTATCACACATTTAATTGACAGAAGTAATCCTTTGTTAGTATGTATTCTAGTAGTACCTATTAAAAATGAAGTGATGAATGGGCAGAGGAACAGAGGGAACTGGAAGTAGTCATCCTTACTACAGCAACTAGAGCTACTCTCTTTCATATGTAAACGCAAGATTTGAATCCTTAGGAAGGTGAGATTCAATGGGAAAAATATAGAGTGCAGGAAACCAGGAAGGGGGTATGGGAGGGGAGAGGGAATATACTGAAGTAAACGGGGGAAAGGGAAATAATGGAAAAGGAAAGCTTAAGCGAGGTGCAGCTTGTGAGGGCAGTGTAGAGGAAAGGGTATCGAGTGGGATCCTGAAAAAAAAAAAAGGGAGTTTGAAAAAGTCATGAAAACCTACAATTGTAGAAGCTTCCTGAAAATGCACATACACATTAAAAAATGATATTAAATGGAGGCACCTCACAATGTGGAGGGAGACAATTTCCCTATCAGACATTATAGGCCGGGAAATAACATCTACTCTGTGAGAAGTCGGCTCCCTATCTTACACTTGTTAACGCTGGAGGGGGGAGGGACGGTGCACAGACCAGCAAGTGATTCTGGCCTTTGCGTTTGCTCTTGGTTATCCTCCAGAACTTGAAGTAAGAACTTGGTGCTGATGACACTACCTACACACGAAGCACAGTACATGATAAAATCAAACTGATACCAGCTTTCAACTACATCTCACCTGGCTAGCATTCAGGAAACCTTTGCTCTTCCAGTAGCGTGGTGACTTTCCATAGTGCTAGTACGATCTATGCATGCCATTGGAGGCGGAAATCATTAATCAGTCCTGTCTGGATGTGGTCCCTGGGATCTTTAACAATGACTCTCATGGGAAGATATGCCCACTGGTACACAGGTGGCAGAAATGTTATAGAAGTATCCAACCGCTTTCTGGTTGGATTGAAGACCTTCTTCAAATGATTGAACCCTCATATGTCACCGTTTTCAGGCACAAGAATCTGAGACCAGGCAGGTCTAAGGCCGTAGAGGAAAAAAAGCTGGTACTGTGATTCTGTTAAAAGGACATTATATGAAACCCAGCTCATATCACTATACCCAAAATCAAATAATCTCTCAACGATCATCAGAGACACTTCCTTGCGCGGCACATGGAAGGTGACACAGTGGCTGGCTAGTGGTCAGTGTGTAGAGAGGAAGAGACTGCAGAGTGCTAGGCCTAAACATGACATCTCCATCACACCTTTTGCTCAACATTTCAGGGAGCATTTTGAAATAGGTGGCAGAGAGGTTGCGCAAGGCAGATGTGGTGGATGGAACACAATAGGGCAGTGGTATGCAAGAACAAACAGTAGTTGTGAGGGCATGCACAAGACCTGAGCAAGCGGAAACCAGATAAAACCATTACGTGGAAGGAAGAGGTGGGTACAAAGCTCAGCTCCTAGATAGGCTCGATGGACTCCAGTGGATGACCATGTACCGAGTGACATCTGGCTATACACATTTGACTTCATGGGCATTAATACATATGACAGGATGCATAAAAAACTTGTGGGAGCAGGTTATGAAAGGTGCTGATGGAGAACAGGGCCTGAAGATGATTAAGATGTTTTGTATCAAGTGCATGAATATTCAACTACAACATACAGTAAAAATAGAGGGAGTACTGGTGGCTGCAGTGGTAGAGAAGGGGGGGAGGGTCTGAGAGATGAATGGTAAGGACAATGTCTGAATTCTCAAACTATCTAAAATATGATTTTAAAACAGAAAAATAAACAACAGAACTGCACTTTACACTTCATTTTCTTATTTCCTTTTTGAACTAAAAATTTCTACTCTTTAATTCGCCTAGAACATTCCCAAGTAAAGAACTT